CCACCACCACCAGCGTCACCACCACCACCACCACCACCACCACCACTACCACCAGCGTCACCAGCACCACCACAACCACCACCAGCGTCACCACCACCACCACCACCAGCGTCACCACCAACCAACCACCAGCACCACCACCACCACCACCACCACCACCACCACCACCACCACCACCACACCACACCACCAGCGTCACCACCACCACCACCACCACCACCAGCGTCACCACCACCACCACCACCAGCGTCACCCACCCCACCACCACCACCACCTCACCACACCACCACCACCACCACACCACCCCAACACCACAACCACCAACACCACCACCAGCAACCACCACCACCACCCACCACCACACCAACCACCAACCACCACTCACCAACGCCAACCACCACCACCAACTCAACCACCACCACAACCACCAACCAATCAACCACCACCAACTAACACCACCACCACAACCACCACCACCAACATCAACCACCACCACCACACCATCCACCACTACCACCACCACCCCAACCAATCAGCAACCACCACCACCCACCAACAACAACCAACAACCAACCAACTACCATCACCAACTAACCCACCACCACCACCAACTACCACCACCACCAACCAACAACCACCACCACCTCAATCACCAACCACCACCAACCACCACCACCACCACCACCACCCAACTACCACCAACTCACCACCAACTCTTAACACAAACCACCCCACCACCAACCACCACCACCCCAACCACCAGCGTCACCCCAACACCAACCAACCACCACCACACCATCAACCAACCAACCACCCCACCACCACCCACCACCAACGCACCACCCCACCACACCAGCACCCACACCACCAACCAACCACCACCAACCACACCCCACCAACCACCAACCACCACAACCACCACCACTCACCAACCCCACCCACCACCACCACCCACCACCACCACCAAACCAACCAACCAACCACCACCCCACACCACCACCACCACCAACCACCACCACCCCACCACCACCCACCACCACCACCACCACCACCACCACCACCACCACCACCACCACACCACCACCACCACCACACCACTACCCACCACCACCACCACCACCACCACCTCCAACCAACACACCACTACATTACCACCACCACCACCCACCACTACCACCACCACCACTACCACTAACACATCACCACCACTACCACTACCACCACCCACCACAATTACCACTACACCACCACCACCACCACCACTACCACCACCACCACCACCACCACACCACCACCACCCACCACCACCACCACCACTACCACTACCTACCACTACCACCACCACACTACAATTACCACCACCACCACCACAATATTTGCACCATCGCACCATCAGGTTTATCGTTCATAAAAAAACACTTTATCTAATAGTGACATAAGATCTTGGTCTAATAATTTGTGTTTTCAGATGATACACATTACATTCAAGACAATTTTGTTTACTACTGAATCCTTTAAAAACATATACCATTCTCAAACAAACTCTATATAACACACATTTAATATATGGAAAAAAATTAGGAAATATTGTTTATTTACATTTTTACCTTGTTCCATTAATTGTATAACTTAACATTATTTTGTAATATTCTTTATATATTGGTTCTGTCACGTGAACTTAATTTCTTTGTTGTACTTTTGTTATGGTTGGATATTTCTGTATATATTGTCGACGAATCCAACACATTCTCTCTCTCTCTCTCTCTCGCGCCCCAAGGTTCACATCACACATCCACAATATTGTCAACTCATACTCATCATCTCCTTACGTCACAACATTCAGCCAATCAACAACTATACCTAAACGAAATTGACCAATGATATTAAAGAGACTCTACATCCCAGCATTCAGCCAATCAACTTCTACCCTTACTAGATTAAAAATCATATCGAAATAATTTATTACGTCACAACATTCAACCAATCAAAAACTACCCTTAACTGGACTAACCAACAATAGCAGAACAAAATCCTGCACGTCACAATATTCAACCAATCCAAAACTAATATCAAAACAACTGTCTATGCCCCCCAACAGGCTGTCAAGAAGTTACACCGACTAACATAACACTTCTGCTGCTGACTTCTAAAGCATTTTTCTCTCTGGTGTCAAACAAACTCAGCCCAGCAGTATATTTTCACCCAGCCTCACACGGCGGTTCTGTGCATCTCACACCACCACATACGATACACACACACGATATCTAGATTAATTACTGACCATTCTGAGCCAAGACTTTCTCCCCTAAGCTATGGAGGAGTTCATTTTCTTTAGAACGCTTCAGTGAACGTTGCTGGGGAAACTCCGGTCATTAGTGTGAGAGCGCCTTGATGAATGAATAGTACTTGAAACTCTTAGTCGTTAGTGTGAGAACGCCTTAGTGAACGGGTTAGGAATTAGTTAGCCTGAGAACGCCTTGGCCGGATGATGCTCAAGGATTACTATAGTGAGAACACGCCTTGGTGAACGGTGCTAGGGATTACTATAGTGAGAACGCCGGTGAACGGGGCTAGGGATTACGTAGTGTGAGAACATGACAGTGAACGGTGCTGGGATTACTGTAGTGTGAGAACGCCTTGGTGAACGGTGCTAGGTTACTAATACTATAGTGTAAGAAAGCGGTACAGAACGGTGCTGGGATTACTGTAGTGTGAGAACGCCTTCTGTGAATGGTGCTAGGGATTACTGTAGTGTTAGAACGCCTTAATGAACGGTGCTGGGATTACTGTAGTGTGAGAATGGGTGGATTAGATTACCCAAATTAAATGATGCCTTTGGGTTGGTTAGGTCAGATTAGCCAGATTAGATTATACGTCCCAGGTTATGTCAGGCTTAGACCACGTTAAGCTTAGGTTAAGTTTAAGAATACATTGGCTATGCTAAGTTAGAATATGTTAGGTTAAATCATGCCAAGTTACAAAGGTTTGGCTAGGTTAAGTTAGTCTGACTTAACCTAACCCATAAGCTTATTTAGCCTAGAGAAACAAAGTAACTTGGCCTACAGTATGAGCTAACCTGAATACCCAACGTTAAGTACTAACAACAATTCACATCAGTCTAACTTAATGCACTAACGTAGTAAATTATCTCCACTACCTTAACTTAGCCTAACCCTCTTAAATTAAACCGAAATACGAGCTATTGTACTAGCCTGGCACTTATACCTGGTACATTAGCTGGTGCGTTTGAGATGTGGCAACTCTGTGGAATGCTTATCTGGCATCCTTAGTCTGGTTACTATTGCGAGGTTCCTTGAGTCCATTCCGGGAGTTTAGTACAATGTAAACAAACACATAGATGCCACATCTCACAAAACGTGCCAGTGACTGTACCAGAGTATATCTACGGCGTCTGTATGTGGAAGAAGGATACTAGGCTCACTGAAACACTCTATAGTTGCATGGAGAAATGTATGTCAGGGTCCAGCAGACCTTGAAGGTATCACAAATTAGTGTCACTTGGTTTGATCCATGGGAATATTGTATAAGATGGCTTATCTTTATAACGATTGTTTAACACCTTGAGGAATATTTTTAACCCGACCATTTAATGACAATAGTTTAATATTTCCGAGGACAATAGTTTAATCCTTTAAAGATAGATGGTTTAACATTTGAAGACGATTATTACTCACACCGATAGCTACATAAACCCTTGATGATGACCTAACCATGTCAGGACGATGACTTAACCATATCAGGACGATGACTTAAACCCTTTGAGGACGATGACCCAACTTTGAGTATCACACATTAACCTTTTGAGGACGATGGGTTTAGAGTCGACCCACCAAGCCACCACACGTTGATAAAGACAAAATATCCTGAAAATTGAGCTGCTCCACCGTGTCCTTCAAAAGCGACTCATAGGATAGAATTCCCCCGAAAGGTCGTAAATCCAAGATATTCTGCAGTCTCCCGTGGGCTCTCCTTCGTTTTCATCTCTTCATGATTGAAATTTGCCAAGATGATGGGCCCCTCGATGGAACGCTATTCCAAACGGTAATGCTGGACGCTATAGTGAGGAGGAGATGGTGATGGTAGTGTGAATGGTGATGGTATAGTGGTGGTGGAAGATACCAGTGATGGTGAATGATAGTGACAGTGACTAATATAAAATTGATGACGCTCCTAATAAGAAGGGTGACGCATGATATTAAGAATGGTGAGGTGAGCAATAAGAATGGTGACGTGCCTAATAAGAAGGGTGACGTGCATGATATTAGAATGGTGAGGAACAAAAAGAATGTTGACGGCGCAATAAGAACGGTGACGTAAGCAACACGAATAGCGACGTGAGCAATAAGAATGTTGACGTGCACAATAAGAAGGTGACGTCATGATATTAAGAATGGTGACGTGAGCAAAATAAGAATGGTGACGTGCTCAATAGAAGGGTGACGTGCATGATATTAGAATGGAGACGTGAGCAAAAGAATGGTGACGAGCAATAAAAATGTTGACGTGAGCAATAAAATAGTGACGTGCACAATAAGAATAGACGCCTAATAAGAAGGGTGACGCATGATCAATAGAATGTGACGAGCAATAAGAATGTTGACGTGAGCAATAAGAATGGTGACGCACAATAAGAATAGTGACGCCTAATAAGAGATGACGCATGATATTAAGAATGGTGACGGAGCAATAGAATGTTGACGTGAGCAAAAGAATGGTGACGTGCACAATAAGAATAGTGACGTGCCTAACAAGAAGGGTGACAGCATGATATTAAGAATGGTGACAGCAATAGAATGCTGAAGAGCGCAATAAGAATGGTGACGTGCACAATAAGAATAGTGACGTGCCTAATAAGAAGGGTGACGCATGATATTAAGAATGTTGACGAGCAATAAGAATGTTGACGAGCGCAATAAGAATGGTGACGCGCACAATAAGAATAGTGACGCCTAATAACAAGGGTGACGCATGATATTAGAATGGTGACGAGCAACAAGAATGTTGACGAGCGCAACAAGAAGGTGACGTGCATGATATTAAGAATGGCACGGAGCAATAAGAATGTTGACGTGAGCAATAAAGAATGGTGACGTGCACAATAAGAATAGTGACGTGCATAATAATAAAATTTGACGTTTACGTATCATATTAAGAAGGATGACGTGCATAATGACGATGATATATTAAGTAAAACAAAAACGATTAAGTACAGCAAACAATATAACAAAAAAAAAGATGTAAGTAGTAACAGACTCCAAAGAAAGGTAATTGATTAGATAAACAGACTACACTTACGTAACAAAGATAGATATAAAACCACAACAAACCTAGTGTTTATATATATCCATAATGATGACGACAAGATTCAAAACATTCCTCGTATCGATGCTTCAAGTTTATAGACAGTCCCAACAGATATGTAAATAAAAAAAAAATATATATAAATGATAATTAAAAATAAAATCAAGAAAAATAAATAACTAAATAAATATATTGATACGTATATACCCAATGAATCCGAGTGAAGCAATACGTAACTTCTAG